TAGTGAAACTGGCTCTCTCTCGCCCGTGGACTAGCTAACACACATCGTGTTAGTGAACCACGTAAATCGTGTGTCTGTGTCTTTCGATTCTCGCTCTCGTATTCTTGCTTTGTCGATTCCGGCGATTTCCCGATCCGTAGCAGCGCGTTTATAACATTCCAGTTTGTTGAAGACAACTTGGCTGCTCGTATTCAAAGCTGGCGTTCAAAATCCCTTTCGCTAGCAGCTAAGGAAGTTGTAATTAAAGCCGTGGGGTCAGCTTCTCCAGTTTATGCTATGTTTTCTTTCCGCATCCCGGCTACGACTTGTCGCCGTTTGAACAGCCAGTTGAGTCGCTACTGGTGGGCAGGTCAGGACAAAGAAAGGGGAACGCATTGGGTTTCATGGCCAGCGGTTTGTGTGAGCAAGTTCCATGGCGGGTTGGGGTTTAGAGATTTCGACCTCTTTAATGTAGCCATGCTAGCAAAGCAGGCCTGGAAAATCTTGCAGGACCCGACTTCGCTCCTAGCTCGGCTTTATAAAGCTCGATACCACCCCTACTCAGACTTCCTCAATGCTACAGCAGGATCGCGGCCGTCGTGGGCTTGGCAGGGAGTATTAGAAGGTCGGGGACTTCTCAAGCGTGGGTTGCGTTGGCAGGTAGGATGTGGGACTGCTATCCGCATTCTTGAGGATCCGTGGCTGCCTACTTCTCCGCCGTCGGCGCCTCTTTTACTGCCGGGGATTACTTTGGAGAATCAGTTTGTCTCCTCGCTTATTCACCCTCTCACTCGGACTTGGAATATCGAGTTGCTCCGTGCTTCTTTTTCTGCAGAAAGTGTCCAATGGATACTTTCTATTCCGCTGCCTTCTTCGCCTCGACCAGACAAGATCATATGGCACTATTCGGCATCCGGAAAATACACTGTCAAAACTGGTTACCATCTTCTCTCTTCCGGTCGTCATCTTGAGTTCAACTCATTTCCCCCATTCCTAAATCAGAAATTCTGGAAAACTTTGTGGAACTTGCCTATTCCTCCCAAACTAAAGGTCTTCTTGTGGCGGGTAGTGCGAGGTTTCCTCCCAATGCGTCAAATTCTACAAGGGAAGTCATTAAGTGATACTAGTTCTTGTCCTGCTTGTGCAGCGGCTGTGGAAACAATCTCTCACTGCTTCTTTGATTGCAGGATTGCTCGGGAAATATGGATGTTAGCGGGAAAGGAACATATCCGGGCAGCCATGGCCAGTGTTACTAATGAATTGGCTTGGGCCAATCTTTTCTTCTCTATGCAGATTTCCAAAGTGGAGATGGCAGAGGTGGTATTCCTTGTCTGGAGAGTTTGGAAAGGAAGGTGCTGGACCACGTACGACAGCATCCAGTACTTACCGGGACCACTGTTCCGACAGTTTAATAACCAGGTTGATGAATGGAAAGGGGCCACAGTGGAGCCGACCCCCTCCTCCTCGTCCAGAGTTCCCCGCTGCCCCACTCCTCCTCCTACTTGTCCACCGGGCGGGTTACTCATTCGCTTTGATGGGGCAACAAAGAAGGGGGTTGGCGGTAGTATTGGGTTTGTAGGATTCAATGGAGACAGAGCTCTCATATGTGCCTACGGTAAGTACTATGTAGGTATCTCAGACCCTTTCCTACTTGAATTATTAGCATTAAGGGATGCAATGGTTTGGTCCTTACATCGTGGTTTCGCTTCTGTTTGCTTTTGTGGGGACTCACAATTGGTAATACGACGAGCGATGGCGGACGATGTTGACCATGATCTCGGAGGTGCTGTGCTTGAAGAAGTTCGCGTCCTGAAGGCTTCTTTTGCTTTTGTTCAATTTGTTTTTGCTCCTCGTAGTACTAACAGGGCTGCCCATCGCGTGGCACAAACGGCCCTTGCATCGGTAGCGACCCAGTTGGTTGACTACCGCATCTATATTTCCAATGCATTGTAAAGAACTATCTATTACAAACTATCTATGACAAAAAAAAAAAAAATCATGTAGCCACAAATTATCTTGTTGCTATATACAATTACGAGATATTTCAGTTACAAAACTTAATATTCATATATCAAGTAGTGGCAAAGCTAAAAGATTGCTACACATTTCATTTGTGTATCTAATTGTCATACATCTAGCTCAATACTCAATAGTGTTGATTAGTGACCAAAACTTCAAATTGTGCTCGAATTAAGGTTGGAGAATATGAGTTTAAATCTATAGATTGTCAACAATCTAAAAATTATAATGCTTCGGATTGTTGAAAATAGATTTAAAAATATTTATTATTTGGTAACTGTGATTGTTAACATTCAATAAAATATTAAAAATTGTAATTTTTATTTAATTTTATATTAAATAACATGTTTATCCTTAATAAAAATATTAGAGTATTTCGAGAAATATTAAAAACTTTGTTGATAAATATATTTAATATGATAAATAAATAAAAAAAAGAAGAGAAAAAGTAGGAGGAAAAAAGTCTCACGAATCAAGATTTAGAATTTCTCTGATTATAAGATATTTGATATCTGTAGATTTTAGATATTTGAAATCTCTAAAGATAAAATCCACAATACAAAAAGCAACAAAAAGCATAACTTTTTACAAATCTACGAATTCAATGAATCCACATCAGTATCGATTTCCATCATAATTACTAACTTGAATCCTAAATTACGTATGATTATTGATAGGTTGAGTCCTAAATTAGTGTATTATATGCATTTTATGTGATAGCTCATGGAAATTTCTATCTATGAGTAATCAATGATTCTATAACGGTTAAATGTTGAACTCTACATCAGTAAACGAGCTACTGGATGCGAATACCAGACAATAGAAACACAATATCATTCAGGCTCATTTCAACCCACAAGATAGACAAAGAATACTACAGATCCCGATCCCTAGACCACCATGTGAAGATCGTTTGGTTTGGAGATTCGAAAACCGAGGTTTCTACTCTGTAAAGTCTGCATACCATTTCTGGAGGGACATGGAGGAAGCAATTTAGGGTGCGCTATATACCCCTATAAAATGGGACCGATTCTGGGGGCTCAAAACCCCTCCTAAAGTCAAGATCTTTGGTTGGAAATGGATAAGGAATGTCTTGCCTACTGGGGCAAACATTGTGGATCAGATCCTAAGGGGTTGCGACGAATTCCCCTTCTGTGGGCAGCGAGAAACTCAATACCACATCTTTCTAGACTGTGGTTGTGTACGCAGAGTTTGGAAACCCAGTTCTCTAAGCGATCTATTCAAGAAAGGAGAAGACCTTGCCCGTGAGGAGTGGATGGTGAAGCTGCAAGAGGAGGAGGATGACTCAAGAGTGAGGATGTTCCTCGTAGCATTGTGGTTCATATGGGAAGATAGAAACAGTTAGCTTTGGAACAAGAAGAAACTAGAGGAATTTGAGATTCTGGGGAAAGCTAGCAGATGGTTGGAAGAATACCTGGAAAACCAAGAGGAACGATTGGAGAAGGTTGAGAAGAGAGTCTATCGATGGAAGCCCCCGGAGTTTGCCGAATTCAAGATCAATGTTGATGCTGCATGCTTGGAGGGTGGGGGGACTAGATTGGGGGATCGTGGTTCGTAACCGGCAAGGGCATTTTTGCTTTGCCACCGTCAAACGAGTGCGTGATCATTGGACGCCGGAGATAGCAGAGCTGCAGGCGATTCGGTTTGGTTTGGAAATGGCGGAGCTGCATCAAATTTTGTCAGGGGAGGTGGAATCGGACTGTCTCTCCGCCGTCTCGTTGATTTTGCGGGAGGAGAGGTCGATAATGGAGGAAGGTGATCTGAGCGGAGAAATCAAAGAGATAATGGATAGGATCAGACCAATTTTGGTTCACTTTTCGGGCAGAACCAACAACCAGGCGGCCTACATTATGGCTCACACCCTTTGTGATTGGGCCCAGATTAAATGTTGGACTCATAGGCCCCCTGTTTTCCTTATTTCATAGCTTCAACCTGATTCTGTACTGTTTCACCATAAATGAAATAATACAGGCGTTTCTATAAAAAAAATGTTGAAACATAAGCCACTAACTTTTATGATTGAGTGATTGTAAAAACAAAACTTTTATGATTCAGTATCTGGTTCAGTTACGAAAACAGAGGTAAGATTTCAAATATTATCTCAGTTCCCTATCCTAATAAAATCTTCAAACTTTCACTCTTATCTGTAGGTAATTCATTCAAATATTATTCATTATCATAATGCGGCAACCTCAATCTTTCACCATCCTAATTTTACCAGTTGTTCCACACGTAGTATTCGTTTTATCAACTAAAATGGTAAGACAGCATAAATAAATCAAACTAGTGAAGTTAGACGGGGCCACGAGGAGTGGGTCTTATTCGGCGGGAGGGATTGTTATTATGACCCCGACTAGGGAGATCCTAATGGCTGCCGGTTTTCAGTTCCCTGGCATCGAGGACCTTATGATTGTGGAGTTGATGGTCCTCCGAGATGTTGTTAGGTGATGCTTGGATCGGAGTATCACGGAGGTTAGTTTTGAGGGCGATGCTAAGGTCATCATTGATAAAATCAACCAGACGGATACTAGAGATAGTCGGATGGGTGCTATCCTTGCTGAAGTTGTGCATCATTTTGCTAGTCGCCCAAGGTTTAGTGTTCGATTTGTAGGTCGGCGTAGTAATAGGGTAGCCCATTTGGTGGCTCGAAAAGCCCTCTCTTTGAACCCGACCATGAGTCGTTCTTTTGATTTCCGAACCTGGCTTTCGTCCAGGGTGTAACTATCTATTTTTTCAATCAATGAAGATTATCTTTTGTCAAAAAAAAAAAAAAAGAGGTGCAATGCAAATTCGGTATGATACGATAAAAAGAATCATACTAACTCATTCAAAAATACATAATGTAACCATACATACATTGTACGAGATCACGAATACTAATTTATAGTAACAATTAATAACTTTAGGAATCAATAAATACATTTATTCCATTTTGACTTACTACAACACCACAAATTACGAATCTTTCTTCGTCAGATTTTTCAATATCCGATCTTAGTAAAGATAACCTGAGCACCATATTGCGGATGCACCGTCATAAACTGCACCGGAGAATGAACATAAGAACTCGACAGCTCAAAACGATATCGCCTCAGAATCATAGCGAGAGCTACTTTCATCTCAACCATGGCGAAACTCTGGCCAGCACAAATTCTCGGCCCCAGCCCCCAAGGCAAGAAGGCTGCCAAATGCTTTCGCGGCTGGCTGAATCTCTCAGGATTAAACCTGTCAGCATCTTCTCCCCAAATCTCAGGATCGTGATGCGCCGCAATCACGTACAATGAGACCTGAGTATTGGTCGGAACTTGGAAGCCTCCCACCTCGGCATCTCTGCAAGTTCGCCTCTGAATTACACTGATTGGAGCGTACAACCGAAGGGTCTCGTTCAAGATCATGCTTATCTGCAGTTAAAAACTCCAAATTTTTTATGCATAATTGAAGGTGATATCCGAAAATGAAATGGTTGTTCAGTATTGAGATTTTCCTTACTAGTTTGAGTTCCCCAAGGCTTTCTGCAGAGAGGAGAATGTTGTTGGTCCTGTCATCCAACACCTGAAGAACTTCCTGACGAGCTTTGGTTTGCCAATCTTGATTAATTGCGAGCAACACAATCGCCCAAGTCAGGGTATTGGCGCTTGTTTCTTTCCCTGCGAAATAGAAGGTCTTGCATTCTTCTACGATTTCTTCCACCTCCAATTTGTCCTCTGTACCATCCGGGTTCCTGTTTGGAGACATCAACAAGCTCAGCAGGTTCCTGGATTTCTCTGATTTCGCGTTCTCGGCCTCGATCAGCTTCCTGATCGAACCTCGGATTCCCTCGTTCACTCTCCACCTCTTCCTGTTCTTCTTGGTGGGCAAGAACCTGTGGAATTCGGTGGCGATGTTAGTTAAATTCCCTATTTTATTGTATGAAACAGGGCAAAAATTCTATCTATCAGACTCTTACCTGAATCCTGGGATGTAGACGCTGAAAACAGAAGCAAAGTGGAGGTAAGTCTGTTGTTCTTGCAACTCGAAGATGCGTTTCCCTTCTTCGAAGCTGCTTCCGAAAATGGTTCTGGAGATTATATCCGCTGAAAGGGTATGGAGTTCCTTGTGAACATCCATCTCGAATTCAACTTCCCCTGCTTTGCCCTCTTCCCAATCCTGAAACATCTTCAGCGTACTTTCCACCATTTTCGGCACCCAACCCTTCGGTGGAGTTTTGATATAACAAAGTCAAATTGTGATGAGAAATTAAGTATATTTCATTTTAATTTCACAATCCAACAGGTTAAATTACCTTAACTTGCTCCATGTTGAAGGCAAGTGCAGCGATCCTCCGATGAACAGCCCATTTCGGGCCCTTAAGCTCAGAGAGTCCATCTCCCAGGAGCAGTTTCGACAACGGGTCGGAATCCAATCTCTCAAAGGTTCCATCTTTACACAAGAGAACTTCTCTGATCACCGCCGGATCCGAGAAAGTCAACCTCGGGGTCAATCCAAACCAGTACAGGAATGTCCTGCCGTGGATTCTAGACCAGTCGCAGTAAGCCGGAACTAGGCTCTGGAGGACCTGATGACGGCCGTTGTTGTCGGACGGCGTGGGAAGATTCCTGGACCTGGCTTCCGCCATCTTCTGACGAAACTCGGATGAGTTCCCGGTGATCGGGCGGTAGCCGGGGCCGGAAATCCCCTGTTTCTGGAAGTGGCGCTGGGTCCTGTACGGGCGCCATAAGACTGAGTGGAGAAGTGAGAGGAGGTAGATTAGGGTCGTAGAGATTATTAAGATCGTGATGATAGTGATGAGGGGCATGATTGGAGAATTCGTTTAAGGAAATGGAGTGGAGATTCGATGAACTAATTTTGCTGGGTATTGCAAACTTTGTTTGTGTAATAAACTTGGAGAGGGCAGTTGAGTAGTACTAGAAGATCTTTCGTCATTCCAGTACAATTAGGGAGTAGAGGGTACACAAATAATCTATAAAACGAATCCTAGGGTTAATTTAAATGTTACCTGTCGCATACACAGATCTGGATAGATTGTTTATATGAAGTTATATTATTTTTTAATTTCTTTTAATTTGAAAAATCAAAAATTATATTTATAGGAAAAAATTTGAAAAATATAAATATAGTTTTCACATTTTAAAGCAACTCGGTACTTCTGTTTTAATTTTATAAAAACATTTTCAGCTTTTTTAGATGCTTGTGTTTATAAAGGTGTTTTACCCAACTTAACCACCGGAGCAAACCAAAACTTTAAGAAGTACAAAATTATCATTTTTTAAAGGTCTATATAAGGAGTCTTCAGAGGCTCCTCCATTTCACAGCGCCTCTCTTTGACAGAAAAATAGCTAACTGGTTCGAACTGATGGGCTAAGATAAGGTAACTAGGAGATTTATTAATCACATGAATAAGTCAATTTCAGCCATTGAGCTTTATTAAAATCTAATGGTTCAAATAAATCTAGTTTAATGAAAGATAAAGTAATAATTATATAATTTATTTATTTAACAATTAAAATAAAAAAAAATTGGACCACTGGCGGAACCACTGTCCCTCCCCTCCCGTCTGCCGCTTATTTTTCCTCGACAGGGTGGGGATATTTGGCACACCATTTTTTTGCCCTCCGGCCGTTCGCTTCTGGGGAAATCTCCTCTGCAGCTTGGACACATAATATACCCATAATTTTTGCTTGGGAATTCTACGAGAGAGAGATTTCTGCTTTTCAACAATTGGCAGCGGCTGAGGTGGATTTTTCGACGACGGAGTATTTTGTAATGTTTGTAAGTCTGGTTCACAATGTTTATATCGATTCGGTTTGTATCGTTTATCATTCTAGTTTATCATTTTTATCTATTATGTTTGTAATGTTTATATGACTAATTTGTATATATTAAAATTTGTAATGTTTGTTTGTCTAGTTTGTATACTTTATGTTAAGATTTGTATACTTTGTATTCATTGTTTTGTAATACAAGTTTACTAATTTTTATTGTAAGTATTGGCATTTTGTGTTGTTAGTATGTTTTGTAATGTTTGTCGATTTGTTTTGTAATGTTTGTAAGCTTTGTTATATTCGTAATGTTTGTCGATTTTTTTTTGTAATGTTTATAAACTTTGTTATTTTTGTCCACCATGTTTTTCATTTTTCTCAACCATGTTTGTAACGTTTTTTATGTCTAAGAAACAACCTGGTTTCTTATGGACGAAACTCATCTATATAGAGATGGAGTCTTCAAAGTCAACCCGATTGTTTTCCCATTTTGTATGGTTTGTCGGTCTATATGTAATTTTTTTCTGCCATGTTTGTAATGTTATATGTCTAAAAAACAATCGGGTTGACTTTGGGACGGTGCCCCTCTATATAGGGATGGAACTTCCATAGTCAACCTGGTTGTTTTCCATTTTTCATGGTTTGTATTGTTTGTCGGTCTACTTTGTATTGTTTGTATAGTTCGTATGTTTTGTATTGTTTGTATGTTTTGTCATTCTAGTTTGTACTGTTTGTATGATTTGTATTGTTTGTAAGTCCGGTTAGTATATTTCATAATTTTTCATAATATCAAAATACCCCTATCATTAATTAAAAAGCTCTTCTCACTTTTTAACCTTCAGATTGGTGTGTCCAGATCTAGGGAGGGGCTTAGCCAAGTAACTAAGCCCACCCTTTTAGTCACCTGATCCTCCCGAACTAATAACCGGTGCTAACGACTGTTGCAAATGATTAACTGCAACTCTTGATTGCTAACTTGTGTTTTTGTTTGCTAAATAGAGAGCATTACACATTTTATAGGGGCTGCTATCAATTTCTAATAGGCATAACTCAACAGAATGAGTCAACCATGAAGAGAGCATTAATATAAACAATGTTTAACGACAATCATACTGTTCCACAAAGTTTTTTTTTATATTACATATCAATCGTCATATGCATCTCAGTACAATTTACAAAAAAATGGTTGCCTTTCGTTTGCAAAGACTATCATTGAATGTACTTTGCAATGACAAATGGATAAAAAAGATAAACATTTCTTTGAAAACTGGATAACACCTTAATTCTAATCATACTAAGCTATATTACTGGAGTTCACTTCTCGAGCATATCAAGCACAATGGTGAGTTTGTCCTCACCATCCTCCATATCATAGAAATACTTAAATTCTCCTGAATGCTTGCAAAGCCTCCTACACTCAAGAATCCTTTGTTTCCTTGTTCAACCCTTCAACTTCTTCAAGGTATTCATCAAATTTGTCTTCATAGTGATATGTAGCTCACTCTTCCCCATAGGTTTAGCAATTGTATCAACGGATTCTTGTATGAGTGACCCCATCTCTCTCAATTCAGTTGAAACATTGCATATGTGCTCATCCAAATGCTTTTTCTTCCTCTTTTAAGTTAGACCTCCTACGAAACTAGTTTGAACTAGTGTTGCTTGCTTCCTCATTGCACGTGATGTTGCTTCCACGCTTTCATTAATTATCTCAAACATGTCCCCCTCCACCACAAGGGTATTTGTTTGGTTCAAAAGGATGGTGGGTTCACCTTCATCTCCAGAACCGTTGGTTAAGTTCTTATTAGCTCCTTGGAACCCCATCTCACATATTGCTCGTCACCAAATCCCATAATTGACGAAATGGGATGTCTCTATAGTTTTTGAAAAAAGAACGAGCCTGAAAATAGGTAAAGCAATTCCCATGTTAAAGAATAAACAACTTCATTTTTTGCTATTACAATGCTAATAATTCACACTACTGTAATTCACATAAGTGATCATTAATGAGGGCATAAGCTCTAATAATTGTACTATCCATGGAATGGAAGTACTGTTCATGGAAAGGCATTATAAAAGCAAAAAATCCAACAACATTAAAATGTCATTTTAGCTACATACACAAAATTTATTATCCATTATAATTCTTTTCAACCACATAACATCTTCGTATTCATTTATGAGACACTTGAAACTTGAAAGTCATTGATCAAACATATTCATTTATGATAAGAGTTTAGGGTTTAGCGTTACGGAATGAATTATCAAATTTGTAATGTGGGTTTTTGTAACACCCTAACCCGGCCGGGTACTACTTTTACCAAAATACCCTTGTTAAACTGATAATACTCAAGAACCAAAGTCGCTAAAAAGAGCGGGAAAATTTTTCATAAACAAAAATACTGAAATCACTTTCTTGTAGTTCAAAGCAACGCCCTAACACATGGGCAAACTCAAACCTTAATCTCCAAATGATCTCCAGTCTCTACTCATAATCATAAATGTAAATAACTAATAATCTCTAATGTTGTTGCTACTGAAAACCTTGACTAAGCATCCTCCATGACACTTATACTGCCCTCCTCTAGCTGGCTGCCCTCGAACTCGTTGCTCACTAACTGCTCCTCTAGCTCTTCAAACTGGTGAGTGCAATGGGGTCAGTCTATGCCCCTACGTTTTAAAATCTAGTACTTGATTACTTTACTTCAGACACTTAAACTTAAACTTGTGGAAGTTGTTTGTACTTCCACTCTAAAAATCTTATCTCTTGAAACTGTGCGGGAGCTAAACTTACTCTCCCTTCTTGAAGCTCAAATCTTGACTTAAATGTTTGACTGACACGGGGATCCCTCACTAGCTAGTCCGGTTGCCCTACTCATATGTATGAGAAGCCATCCAGGCTTTCCTTAAACTTAAACTTATCGTGGAAGGCTCTTCTTCAACGATTCTCAAGAGCATAACTGCTGCTCATCTTAAAATATCTCAAGAGCATAACTGCTGCTCATCTTAAAAGTCCCAAGAGCATAACTGCTGCTCTATCTCAAAAACTCAAATGGCAACGGACTGGCGCTAGTGACTAAAACTCTTAAAATGGTTTCACCTTCTTGAAGGTGAAGTACTTCTTAAGAAGAACTTGTTTCTTAACCCTCAATAACAACTCATAAATATAAAGTTTTAAAGTAAATAATAACTCATACATAATCGTTTCAAGCAAAGCTCAAACCACACACATATCACCAATCATAAACACAATCAAGCATTAACAATCACTTCATCAAAATACTTAAAGCTCGTAAAGCTTGAAAGAACACGTAAGGCGTAGAATTTACCCCTTTACACTCACCTTAGATTTAATTTGCAGTGAATCTTCAACCCTCCATCCTTTGGAAAAACCATCCAACTGTACCTCCAATTAGTCTCTACAGACATTGTGAACATATACACCTCTTAACCTCATCCCCGTAAAACTAATTAATTAAATAGAAATCCTAGGATGGGGATATATGTACCACTTAAATCATTCTTCCTCATACTGTCTTTTGCCCACAAGACCTACGAGTTTGTGTCTAGGTATTATTGTGCCAACCATTCTTAAGCCCAACCAACACTAACCCATGGTTGGTTCTGCCTGTGGCTTTGTAAAGCTAGCAAAACAACCCTCTTCATTGGAGCAACCCGCATATTCTAATTATTGTATACTAGTTAATTTGCCCGCGCTTTGCTGCGGAATTTTTTTTGGAATAACTTTATAGTAAAATATCAAAATCTCATTAATTAATGACGTAAGCATACTTTTTTTTAGCTAACTTGGAAAGGAGGTACAAAGTTCTATGACATCCACACTAACTAAATTCATTCATCATTTCATCCAACATGCTCAAATCCAAGTATTAATGTCAGGAGTTACTGGAAGTTAAATGCTAAAACCTTTTGCCTATGAAAACTCTAATGGCATATAAAAACCCAATTTGTGTAAGGCTGATTGGAGCATTAGAGACACACAAAATAAATCTCATATATATGGTTGGCGAATTGAAAC